TATAAAACCTGGACAGAATTCACGAGCGCTCTGGAAAGTAAACGGCGGCAGGTGGGCGACCAGGAAAAAAGGCCAGAATTCGAGGCCCACCCAACCGAAGGGGAGCTGACCATTTCTTCTTCCCACCAGTGGCCTGAACTCAACCAGCCGCCACCCCAGGGCGCCCATCAGGGTGGACAGGGAGCCCTCCGGGAGTGGGGAAGGGGCTCTCCTAAGGCTCTGGTTGTGGGAGGAAGCTCTGTGGGTTTCTTCCTTTTTCCCTTTTCTCCCTGCTTCCAGGCTGGTCCCTAAGCAATTCCATGTCCACGACAGTGAAGAGGGCGCAGGAGTCCAACACTCAGGGTGGGAACCAGAAAGCCCTGCTTGCCTCAGAGCTCTGCTAGGCGCTCCCCTGCCCGCAGTGCCGTTCCCTGTGTCCCAGCGCTCCCCCCTCCCAGCTTCCCTGCGCAAGTGCACCTCCCAGGAGAGGACTTCTCTGCCAACCTGTCCGAAACCAAAGCCACTTCCCCTCTCGCACTTGTCCACCTGGAGAGACTCAGTGCTGGATGTACCCAGAGCTGCCTGCAAGCTTTCACGCCCTGGGTTTTGAGTCAGCCTATCCCAGATGGGTTCCCAGATGTATCTGAAAGTCCATGGTTTGGGGGGAGGGGGTGGTCCCAACTAGTACTCAGGTGGCAAACCACAGGTGTACCCCTTCACCCCTTACCCCTGGGCACTTCTCACTAACCGCCATATCTTAAAATTGCTTACTTATCATCTGGCCTGCCTGCCCAAACGTGAACTCCTTGGAGACAATGACCCATGGCCACCTGGTTCTATTATGTAGCCCCAGAGCCAGAAGGGGTCCTGACCCAGCAGGCACTTAATAAGCTGGTGCTCAATGAATAAATACAGGGATGCTTGGGATTCTGAATAAGCATTCATTGCTTTGATGATAAAAAGTTATTCTAAAATAAAGTCTTTAATCTCCAGCTAGGAACAATAATTAAATCCAGTATTAAGGAGTCATACGGGAACAGACACATTTCTGTATTTTCAGGGTGCTACAAATGTAACCTGGATGTTTAGCAAAGTGGCCAGGTGTGATGAAAATTACAAAGGTAGTCATACCCCTTGCTAGGACTCCAGTGAAGTCCCTGAAAAACCAAATGAACTGCAGAGACGTTGTGCAAAAATGCCACAGCGGTGGATTTCTAGGGCAGTGAAACTATTCTGCATGATTCTGAAATGGTGAATACATGTCATTATGCATTTGTCAAAAGCCATACGAAGTACAACGCAGAGTGACCCCTAATGTAAATGAGGTCTTTAGTTAATAATAATGTATCCATAGTGGCTCATTGATTGTAACAAATACAGCACTTGGACACATGCTAATAACAGGAGGAGCCGTGGGAGGGAGTGGGAAGGGGTGTCTGGGAACTCTGCACTTCCAATTCATTTTTCTGTAAACCTAAAACCGCTCTAAAAAAGGTCTATTAGTTAATAATAAATTTTTAAAATTTTAAGCTACAGCACTGTTTATAAGCGTGAGCTGCTGGAAACCACCTGAGATCCTGGTGATCCAGAAATGATGAGGGAACTACTAAAATAATATGAGTTTTGCAGAATACATGATGGTTTTTGCTTTAATCTCATGCACACTGGTTTTATCTTAGGCTCCACACCCTTGAAGAAGGTCGGATTATCACCCCTCCCTCCCAAAGGAGACAGCAGGGTCAGGTGGAGAGATGGGAGGGTCCCCCTCTGGTCCTAAAGCTTCAGGGGGCTCAGACCAGGTGTCCTGGCTCCAAGCCCATGGTTCTTCTACCACATCATATCATACCCAGAAAAGGGACACCAGAGAGGATTATGCTGCTGCATAGAAAACCAGATAGTGGCAACAACTGTAACATATGACAGGTAAATAAAACAGGACTCAAGGAGAAAAATCTGAACTAATGCTGGAAGAGATTTTGAAGTTAAAAAGTGGTTAATATGACTGAACATTTGTCAGCTGGTTGTTAGGGCTTTATGAAGATGGTCAGGTTTATAATGATCACCTTTTAAAGAGACTCATAGCTCAGGGTCCCATAAATAGACATTTCTCCAAAGACATCCAGATGGCCAACAGGCACATGAAAAGATGTGCAATACTGCTAATTGTTAGAGAAATGCAAATCAAAACTACAATGAGGTACCACTTCACGCTGGTCAGAATGGCCATCATTAAGAAGTCTACACATAATCAATGCTGGAGAGGGTGTGGAGAAAAAGTGATGGTCGACCTGCACATGCACCTTATGAAAGTGCGATAGAAACAATACACTGCACTTGTTTTAGATGAGACACGTGTGCACTCACCATGGGCTCTCAGATTGGATGAATGCTGTACCTTTTCAGACTTACATCACTCTCAGTGTCACATAACCAACCACAAAATAAATCTACACACTGCAGCAACCCAACCATCACAGATACTCAGCTGTGCTGACACATCTTCCAGCCAGCCATCGTCTGCGTCAGAAAGGAAAAGCCGTTCATTCGTGTCACTGTTACTGTCTCTCGGACTGCACATCTAGGCCCTACCAGACGGCAGTTTGCTGGCTCTTTCAAGCCCAGGTCACTTCAAAGGACACTCTTCAAGTCCATTCCGAGAGCTGCACAAGTCCGTACACGTTCAGGGCTGAGGACCATTCCACAGTATACATACACCATGGCATCTCGATCCCGTCTACATACAATACCTTTGGATGTATGTTTCTATCAGTAATTCGTGTCAGGTCACACTCCCTCCTACACTGTTGGTGGGAATGAAAATTGGTGCAGCCACTATGGAGAATAGTATGGAGGTTCCTTAAAAAACTAAAAATAGAGTTACCACATGATCCAGCAACCCCACTCTTGGGCATATATCTGGAGAGAACTCTAATTCAAAAAGATACATGCACTCCAGTGTTCATAGCAGCACTATTTACAATATCCAAGACATGTAAGCATCCTAAATGTCCACTGACGAATAGATAAAGAATATGTGGTGTGTGTGTGTGTGTGTATATAAATATATATATAAAATACATATATATGAATATTACTCAGCCATAAAAAAAGAATGCAGTGATGCCATTTGTAGCAACATAGATGGACCTGGAGATTATAACATTAAGTAAAGGAAGTCAAAGACAAATACCATATGGTAACACTTATATGGGGAATCCAGAAAAAAAAATGATACAAATAAACTTATTTACAAACCAGAAATAGACTCATAGACATAGAAAACAAACATGGTTACCAAAGGGAAAAGCAGGGAGAGACGGTAAGTTAGGAGTTTGGGATTAACAGATATACATCACTATGTATAAAATAGATAAATGGCAAGGATTCACTCTATAGCACAGGGAGCTATATTCAATATCTTGTAACAGCCTATAATGGAAAAGAATCTGAAAAAGAATATATGTATATAACTCAAGTTACATGTATATAACTGAACCAATTTGCTGTACCCAGAAACTAACATTGTAAATGAACTACACTTCAATTAAAAAAAAAAAAAGACTTAGGGTCCCAGGAGTCACTCTTACTGGTGCTGAAACGCCCTGACTCACCAGCGACCTCTCTGCTGTCTCTTGTCCCCTGACTCGCATATCCACGTGGGCCTGGCCCTCAGGCAGTCAGGATCCTAACCCGTGATTCCTCCGCAGGATCCTCCCTCCCTCAGCCTGTGCGCTTCCCCCCTCCCCTAGGCCGTACCTGCAGGCTTAGATGAATCTTGGGTGATGACAGCCGTTTGCCCGTCAGAAGGTCTTGTTAAGAATGACTCAGTGCCGGGGAGAAAGCAGCCTCGTGACTCAGGCGGATCCGGCTCTCCTGCGCAGTCACCAGGCAGGCAGCGGGGATTCCATGGGTCCTGGGGAGGGCTCCTGGGGCTCCCCAGGTGATCCGGGAGAAGAAAGAAGCTGAGGTTGTGCAGCTCCCGGCAGCACCAGCGGGACAGGGAAGGAGCAGTTACAAAGGGGGGGCCACAGTAACATCGAGGGTCACCACCGTCTCCATTTCAAAGAAGGAGCTCCGGGCAGTTTAGTGAGTCACTCTTGGGTGGAGGAGCTCGGACCCAAGGCCCTTGCCCAGTTCTGAAGGCCTGAGAAGACCACCCTCCCCCAGAAGCAGTTCACCCCGGCTTTGGTGCCAGCTCTGGATTTGAGGGGGCTTGTGAGGCCCCCTAGACCTCCTACCATCAATACCACACTCAGAAGCTGCCCTCTGAGGGGCCTTCAGGGGCCACCAGTCTTGCCGGGGAAGTTGAGCACATGTGGACATTTCTGCGTGAACCCCAGTTAGCCAGTCTGCCAAAATGAAAGACCTCGAACAGTAGACTTGCCCACACTCCCGGCCAAAGATATCATGTACGTCCAAGAAATGCAGGGAGGGGTCACCCAGCATCGCTCAGTCTCATGAGTTAAAAAAATAGAGGGTTTCTTTCCCACCCACCCCAATTTCCTCCAAATTGTTGCCCAGAAAAGGGTATCAGATCTTCTTAAACACACACATGTGCACATGCGTGCACACAGGCACACGCACGCACACACACAGATCCATGCCCCAGGAGAGCATGTCTGGCTGGAGGCGGCTGGAGGCACAGAGCTGTGAGTCCAGGCCCCGGCTGATCCCGGCCGCACACACCAGTCCCAGCACCTGCCTTGCGAGGAAGCACCGGAGACTGAAAAAAGCTAAAATAGGAAATCTAATTAAAGAAATCTGACCTTTTGTTCTTCAGATAATTGGGGGTGGGGGCAAACTATGATTTTTGTCTGAGTCTATTTACGGTATGTTTCCATTTGGATAAAGATCAACAGTGGAAAAGGAAACGGTGCCGAGAAACACCATGTCCATTTTCAAGGGAAAGGGAATCCCTTTTGGACGGGCTGTACCCAAAGCTGTAAATAGCCGACCTTGCAGCAAACGCGAAGGAAACCAACGTGTGTGCCAAAAAGCGTGGCAGGAGCCGGGGGTGGGGAGGCCGTGGTCGGGGGTGGCCTCACTTCCCAGAACTTCCCCATCCCTTGTGGCGGCAAGAAACCATCCACAGCGTGAGGGCGGCAGACTCGACTGGAGCGGGAAGAGGTGCTCCTGGGGCCCAGGTAAGACCCTCTGCCACCGCGGTGCCCCCCGCGCGGCGCACACCTTGAATGCATTCTGTGTCACTGTGTGTGTTTCCGCTGCAGGCGCGGGACACATAGAGGTTGGGGACAGAGTGGAAGCACCCTTGCTTTACGCTCTGTATCTCTGTGTGCCTTTGAACTTTGTGCTGGAAATCGTTTGTGTGTGTGTCCTTCAGGTGAACTGTTGTCTTCTAGGAGATTCGAGCACCACTTTCTAATCTCCAGCGAGAACCCACTGTCCTGAAACACCTCCCCTCCCCGCTCACCCCAACACACACCCCACGGCGCGCACACACGTGCACACACACACACACACACTGTGCACCACACGTGCGCACGCACACACCTCTGGCCCGCAGGACTCCTCCCGCGGCGTGTCTGAACTCAGGCGCTGGGCAGGGCTCAGCTTGCAAAGCAGGTCAAAGTCGGGTCACGTTGCGCCCACGAATGGGACTGGAAGGGCCGTGCCTTCTAAATCTCCAGGATTCAGTGCCATCTAGAGGCTCCCCTGCTGCACTGTCTCCCAGCTCTGGGATGGAAAGGGGATGCCAGAGGTGGGCATCAGGGAGGGCATGGGGGCCTGTGATGCACAAGGAAGGCGCCCATTTCTGAGGAGGACTCAGGGGTTGGGGCTGCCCATTCGAGGTGCTGGCCCAGCCATCAAGGCAGCCGGATGCGCTCAACGCCCTCTGCGATTCTGTGGCTGCACGCACGTGCGGGCACACAAACACACACACACACACAGACACACACACACGCATGCATTTATTCTTTTTCTAATTACAAAAGTAAAGCATTTGTGGGGGGCAGGGTAGAGCTCGACGGTAGAGTTCAGGCTTAGCATGCACGAGGTCCTGGGTTCAATCCCCAGTACTTCCATTTAAAAAGGAAAAAGGAAAGTATTTGAAACGATGCCAAATGTCATTAGTCATCAGAAAATGCAACTTAAAATCATACACACCCACCAGAGCACTCCTGCGAGGAACACCAAGCCCTGGAGAGACCGGAGCCCTCCGACTCTCGGATCCCACACGTCAGGGTGTAAACCGGTCCTCCACAGGGGAAAGCTGGTGCCGTCTGTGGGAGCCCTCGACACCACAGTCCCGCTGCTGGTGCCCAGTACAAAACCAGGCACCCAGACCTCTGCCCCTCCGCAGGTGGATGAAATAAGGGCCCGGAGGACCCCTGCAGGGGAGGTGGCTCCCAGGCACAGTGGCATCACAGCAGGTGTGGCTGGCCCCCTCCACCTGCCCTTCCTCATCACGGATGGTTTGGCCCCCAGGGGACGCTGGGCGATGTCTGGAGACATTTTTGGTTGGCACACAGGGGAAGAGATGCAACTGGCATCTAGCAGGTGGGGGCCAGGGATTCTGCTCAGCATCCTCCAGTGCGTGGAGCAGCCCCCACAGGGAAGGACGCTGTGGTCAAAGTGTCAACAGCGTGAGGAGGAGAAACACTGCCTTAAATGCCCAGCTGTGGAGCAGTGGTGTAAATCATTCCTGCTTTTAAATCAAGGGACGTTTTAGCTAAAAACTTTCGGAATAAAAAATTCTAAATAGAATTAAGCAGAACAGTGCGATAATGTAAATACATCCAGCCTGTATTAAAAAGGGCAAGGCTGCAAGACGAAAAATTCAGGGAATGAGATCATGTGTTTTCCCAGGCTTATGTGCAGCCTTTAATGCTTCCTTCATCAGCTGGGGAACCAAATGCTTCTATATGGAACCATTCAAGGGGCTGAAAATACATCTCTGCCTATTCTTTTCTCCCCTAGGGCTACTGTATTATTCCTTTTGCCTAATTGGGTAATTTGAGTCATTTAATTATTTTTAACTATGAGATTGATGATTAAAAGGTCAACATTGTCAAAATGAACTAGTCACACGATCTGTGATCATCAACATTAGCCGTGAAAATTGTTTCTCCCCACCTCTCATTTATTGAGCCTTTAACAATATTGCATAGAATGTGCTGGATGTCATGGGAGGCAGAAAAGGAGGAGAAGACACGGTCTCCACAAATGAGGAATTCTGTGTATTCATTGTTTTGCCAAAGGCGTTCGAGATTGGTGGGTCTGTTTGATGTTTTAGAAACAGTGAGGGCTCTTTTAGTAACTTTTATTCATTCACGTCATTCAAATACAATCCAACAAAGTTTCCAAATTTATTCTGGCTGTTCTCCTTTTGAAGAATTAAGTATAATCCTTTGGAAAATAGTCTTATAGAAGAAACCAAAACCCAACGGCTCAAAACAGCTCAGCAGAAACCCACATAAGGAATGCGTGGCACCTTTGAGGGCTGGCCCCCGAGCACTTCGGGGAAGCCACGTAGGAGAAAAGCCAATCTACTCATCAATCATTTGTTTTAAATTTAAAAATCAAGACATGAACATTATAAACTAAAATTCCAAACAACACCAAACAGTGTCCCAGTCTCCTTATTATCAACAGTTTTTTGTGTATTCTTTCAAAATTCCTTACACATAAGACAAACAAACATAGTTTTACAAAATGGGGTTGTGCTATGTACACGTTGTTTTTTGCAAGTTGTTTTTTCCCCTTTTATTTATTGTGGTAAAATACATATAAAATTTACCACCTTAACCATTTTAAAATATACAATTCGGTGGCATTAAGTACAGTCCTACTTTTTTACAATTATCACCACCATCGCAACCATCACCACCACCAGCCCCAGAACTCTTTTCATCTTGCAAACTGAAACTCTGTATCCTTTAAACAACTTCCCGTTTCTCCCTCCCTGCAGCCCTGGGCAACCACTGCTCTACTTTCTGTCTCTGTGAATTTGACTACTTTAGGTACCTTATGTAAGTGGAATTGTACAGTATTTGTCTTTTTGGGACTGGCTTATTTCCCTTATCATAATGTTGTCAAAGTTCATCAATTCCAACATGTATTGGAATTTCCTTCCTTCCTTTTCAAAGCTGAATAACATTCCATTGTGTGTACAGACCACATTTTGCTTATCCATTCATCAGTCAGTGGACACTGGGGTTGCTGCTGCCCTCCAGCTACTGTGAATAATGCTGCTATGAACATGAATGTACAAATATCTCTTCAAGACCCTGCCTTCAAATCTTTCAGGCATATACTGCAGAGTGGAATTGCTGGGTTATATGGTAACACTATGTTTAATTTCGGGGGGAACCTCCCAAACTATACCATTTTAGAGTCCCACCAACAGTGTACAACGGCTCCAATTTCTCCACATCCTCACCAACACTTGGTATTTTTTTAACAGTAGCCATCTTAATGGATATGAGACAGTATCTCATTGTGATTTTACTTTGCATTTCCTGAATGACCTTGTGACTAGTGATGGTGAGCATCTCTTCATGTGCTTATTGGCCATTTGTATATCCTCCGTTCACATTCCATGGGTTAGAAATTAGTTTTACGGCAAAATGTAACTACAAGCAAGCCTGGGAGATGCAATATGGTTGGGTTATGCATTAGCTATTGTTTATGGCTAATAATGTTAGCACTAATCTAGTATCTTAAAACTAAACATTTATCTCACAGCTTCTGAGGGCCAGGAGCTTAGGCACAGTTTAACTGAGTCCTTTGCAAGGCTGTAGTTAAGGTGTCAGTTAGGGCTGCAGTCTCATCTGAAGTTGGACTGGGGAAGGAACTGCTTCCAAACTCACCCTGGTTGTTGGCAGAATTCAGTTCCTTGCGCTTGTAGATCTGAAGGCTTCGGTTTCTTACTAACTATCCACCAAAGCCCTCCCTGGGTCCCTAGGAGCCACTTTCAGTTCCTCGTCATATGGGATTTTCTTGAAGCCAACAAAAGAAAGAGTGACTCCAGCAAGATGGGTGCAACCATGTCATGTATATAATCACATACACACCAGCATGTGGATTCTGCTGTCTCTGCCATATTCTGTTGGTTAGAAACAGGTCACGTGCCCCGCTCACGTTCGAGGGGAGGAGCGCCTGCAAGGGCAGGAACATCAGGAGCTGGGAACTGTGGGTACCACCTGGGAGTTCCACTGAGATAGCCCTAGAATTCCATGACAGTGGAAGGAAGCATAAGACTTCAGGGACAATGGGCTATCAGCATCCACCACAATATGGTGCAAATATTTTTCTTAGCAATGGAAAATTGCTAGGTTGAAGACTGGCTTCACATTTTAATTCGATGATAACTTTGTGGTTGGTATTTTTAATTTATTTATGATACTCCTAACATACAGAAGACTTCAACTTGTGTGAAGTCAAACTTATTAATATTTTTCCTTTTCTTTCTGAACTTTGTCAAGATTCATGGCATGGCATGAAAGATCTCCCCCTTCCAAGATCACATAAAATCCCATCCATACAGTCTCCTGAAATAACCCACAATTATGGCCAAGTGTCCCATCTTCACTACCAGTAATTTGTTTATATAAGTTATTTTGCTGCTGACTGGCTTGAAAAGCTGTTTGTTCACAATTTTGCTCATCAGTGACTTTTTAAGGGGAAGAAGTGGGATTCAGCAAATTATTTTCACCCTTTAATGTACAGCTCTCGGTATGGCTCTAAGATAAGCAATAAAATTTCATGGAAAGCTCTTTTTTTGGTGCAAAATCAGCACGAGCCACACATAGTCAATGATCCCATTTACCCCAGTCCTTCTCGGCCCTCCTGGGACGGACACAACTGTATGTGCCCTTGGCCGTTCACCCTCCGAAGTCACTCCCCGGCTGAGCGTTTACTTCTGAATAGAAAATTATGATTGTGTCCGTAGTATTCACTCACATAATCCAGTCCACCAAGGAAACCCAGGTCCCCCCACTTTCCTGAGTCATTCATGTCAAGTCACCTGCCTCTCAAACAGAGGCTAAATCATCTGGGAGATCATGGAGGAACACAGTTCCCTTCCTTTCCCTCAGCAGATATTTAGGGCACCCCCTTCTCTGGGCACAGCACCCTATGCAAAGTGGGTAGCTGCTAGCAAAAAAAGACTTTGAAAAATTGC